TGGTAACCTCAGACGGCAGTTATCGTGGAGACCGCAGGGTGTCTGGGTGTTATGAGACTACTGCCTTGCAGGGAATTAGCTGAGGAGGGGTAGCTGTTACATATGATGCTGTAATAAAGCAAGCCTCTTTCCCATCAAACAAGGTCAAAGGTGCTTCTGAGCCTAGTGACCCTGGGGCTGGTATGGTTAAAGCATGGCAATTTCTGTAGCCAAGGCCACACAAAGAAGAGATGTGTCTAGCATTACATCCAGCTGCCTTTGACTGCCCAGCCTGAATGACCAGGTGCCCGCTACGCCTGGGTGCACTGGGGAGAGTCACCAGTCCAGAGCAGGCTTTGAACTCTTCCTGTTGCAGCCATTGAAACACATCTTCCCTGCTCCATCACCAATGCCCCTACCTCTGGCCTTTCTGTAAATCCTTGTGGCTCTGGGGTGACCGTTTATCAGCACCCTGTGTCCCACTAAGACGTCTGTACTCTGTCTGCCCTGCTGCATTTTGGGAGCACAGTCTCCCTCTACAAGTGCTGTGTGCATGGAAGTGACCCCAGGGTGACTGTTTGGATGCTGTTTTTTGCACAGTGCCTCCATGGGCCCTGATAGCCATTGCTGTGGTAGTTGGCCTGCTCTTCCTCACCTGCTGCTTCTGCATCTGCAAAAAATGCTGCTGCAAGAAGAAGAAAAACAAGAAGGAGAAGGGCAAAGGCATGAAGAATGCTATGAACATGAAAGACATGAAATCAGGGAACCAGGTAAAGCACCCCTCAGAACATCTCATCCAGCTCACACAGCCAGCATGGTACAAAGGGTGAGCTTATGATTCTGGCCAAGGTAAAGCCAGGTCAACCTGCTGGTTTCCCCAGCCCCAGCAAAAGCAAAAGCAGCCAGCCCCATTTAAGGCAAGAGTGAGATATGAACCCTCAATAGGCAATAAGCAGGAGCCCGGTGCTTACAGTAAGAAAGGAACCACACAAGGGAGAAGCAGTCAGATTGTTAGCAGCAGCAGGCAGAGACCGGGCTCCCCGCTGTCCCACAGCAGGTTACAGAGATGTTCAGCAAAGGGTTGGGTTATTCGTTCTTTGCTCAGGAGGAACCAGGTCTGGGATTTAGGACAAGCCCCCTTCCAATGTTTGTCTACAAGGTGTTCACCCTCTTATCAGTATCAGGAGATGGGAGAGCTGGCACTGCTGGACATGGGGTCTTGCTTGTAGGCACCACGCACATGCACACACACATACACGCGCACACACTTCTGACCAGTGCTCCATGTTCTTCTGTACCACCAGAGACTGTTTCCTAGCTTCATAGAGGTTAAGGCCAGAAGGGAACATTAGATCAAAGCATCACATTCACATCACCTGTTACTATCCATCAACCTGCAGTCTCTGTTGATCCCTTGTCTCCTGGGGGTGGTCTTATCTGGACCCAGCCCTGTTCGTTCTGCCCTTTTCCCGCAGACCAGGGAACACACAGGTAATGGCTCAGGGAAAAAAGGAAGTGGCTTGGAGCTCTCTGGTCTCTCCATATAAAGCTCTCAATGAGCAGGATTTCCCTTCTGTTTGCCAGGAACCAAGATACTTCTGCTGCCCTGTATAATCTGACACCTCTTCCCTCCAGTCCCTACAGGCTAGCTACCTGTTCCTAAAGCTTGGTGGAATTTGAGGTTTGGACTGGTCTAACTTCTCAGATTGCTTTATCACAGGGGCAGGCAAGGTCCGGCCTGTGAGCCAGATCGAACCCGCACCAGACTCCATTTCCCAGCAGCCCTTGTGACCCCAGGAATGGCAGCATGGAGCCAGGGTTTCCAGCATTTGTGGCAGGGCGCACAGCTGGGCAGGGAGCTGGGATCTTGCAGTGGTGACAGTGTGGTCCAGAGCTGGAGCAGAGCAATGATCTGCTGCCCACATGCCCCAGGCTCTGCAGCTCTGCCCCAGCTCCGGACCACACTGTCACCACTGCAAACTCCCAGCCCCGGAGCAGCTCCCTGACCGGCCATGCGCTCTGCCAGCACTGCTGGGGCCAGTCTCCACGGAAACCCCAACCCACGCTGTCAGGGCACTGCTGATCAGCAATGCACACAGGGGCTGCTGGGAAATGGAGTCTGGCTGCCAGCCAGATCTGCCATTTTGCCCACCTCTGCTTTATCGGAGCCATTACTAGTGAATTCTGGGCCATTTTTAACATTTTCCTCTCTGTCTTTACCCATTTCATCTTTACTTTTTGCTGTTCTTCTATTTCAAGGATCAATGCCTGGGGTTCTGACTTCAGGAGAGAAGTGTTGGGATGAGGAACATCCTTAGCAAGGTCAAAGTTCACACGTGGTTTTGTGATCCCCCAGACACATGCCTGTTTGTTCAAATTCTGCACAAGTACATAAGGCTGGTCTGTGTTTTTCACAGGAAAAGGGGCCCTTGGGAGATTTGGGCTGGAAATCCAGGGAGAGCAGTATCTTTTGAGTCTTTTATACCAGTCCAGCTACAGTCCAGAAGATCGGAGTGGGGCAGGGGACAAGAATTTTTTGTGGTGGGGCCATAGACACCAAAAATGCTGCACTTTTTCAGGAAGTGAGTCAGGTTTGGTTCTGGCAATCAGCAGGGTTTCAGATACAGGGACTTATTCTTTTCTGAAACCCAATTCATCCATCCTTCATGGAGAGCCAGAGGAATGCCAGCCTTTCCCTTGTTCAAGGGCTGCCTAGAAATGACATCCACAAAGACCAGCATGGGTCGTCTGCTGACTGCAATGGCTGCAGATCTGTGCTTATTCCCACTTTGAGAATGCTCCCTTGTGAAAACAAAGTACCTAAGAAGATTTCACAAGAAGCCCTGAATTTTTCAAGGAATTTTTTCCCCTCTGCCAACAAATAGGGCTTCTTTTCCTTTTCACTGAGGAAATGGGGAGGTTCCTTAGGAGTCCCTGCACCAGGAATGGCACTGAGAATGCCCTAAGCTGCAATGCTTAGAGCGTCCACTGCTCCTGGATCAATGTTGAGCCCTGAGTGGGTGGGCTTCCCCTCACCAGGGCTACCTGCAGGTATGAGGACTGGACCACTTCATGGCAAGCCCCACATGCAGCCTGACCTGCTGTATGTGCCCCTTATATCTCGCTTGGCTTTTCCCAAACAAAGCATCATTCTCCTCAAAGCTGGCCGGCTGCTAAGGAGCTCTGACTGGCAGCATCTTTCAGATGCAGGAGGCCATTTGCAGACCACACATCAATCAGGCATTGTCCAGAGCTCCAGTCCTCCATAGCCACTACCTGTGAGGAGGGAGGTTTATCTCAGGAAGGGCCACTTGGTGACTGAATGATGAGGGTGGCACTGCTCCCACCAGTGGCCTGCACCAGCCCCATGACTGATGGCAGTACCTGGCTCCGTGTCACTCTCTCTGCTACTTGCACAAACGGAGGATGAAACCCGGGAGCTATTCATTCCCAAAGGGGTGCGGGAAGAGATAGGGAGGATCACGCTGACAGATGCACAGTGGGGAATAGTGCCAGGAGCCTTCCACACACACACCAACTTGTGCCTCGTATATCTACCCTGACACAACTGCCGTGCCCTGCCGGCACCTGTCACAGATTCCCCAGAGGAGCACTTGCATGGGATCCCCAGGCTTACACAGTCTCTGGGAGTACCCCCCGAAGACAGCCCAGGCATCATAGCTTCTGGTCCCTGGCCCCTCCTGGTTATCCGTGGTCCCCACAGAGAGATGTCTTCAGGTTTAGTTTCTGGGAGGGCTTTTATCACTTCAGAGGGATTCATAGATGTTGGGGTCGGAAGGGACCTCAGTAGATCATTGAGTCTGACCCCCTGCCCTGGGCAGGAAAGAGCTCTGGGGTCAGATGACCCCAGCTAGGGGGTTGTCTATGGAGTGCACCCAAAGTCCCACCCAGTGAAGCAGGCAGCTTTCATTTAAAAAGCCAGCAATTCAGCTGGCAGTCCTCAAGCCTGAAGCCCAAGCAGTCTCTGTCAGCAAAAACAGCCCTGGCTGTTCTGCCTCCAGCCTCTGGGCCCCCCACAACCACACATGCACACAGTCGTGGGGGGGGGGGGGGGGCTCCAACAGGTATGCCTCAATCACAGTTAACCCTTTTTTTCCCTGTGTACAAACTAGCCAGGGAAACTGAGGCATGCAACATTATTATAATGTGAACACAAAAATATGACAACAAGCCCAGAGTCTATCATAGCAGCCCTTGGGATATATGCTTTGCCAGAGGAGGTTCAGCTAGATGCAACAACCGCACAGTGATATAATGGATGTGCTTTGAGCCCCAGAGAGATGGTCTCTCTTGGGGTTCCCACAGCCTCCCAGCACCCCAGAGCAGGCCAGTGCCTTAGTTTAGTGTAGCTCTGAAGCACCAACAGGAGACACAGTGCCTGCAATGATGATTACAAAGTTATGGAGGAGTGTCACATACAAAGCAGAGGCTGAGAGACAATGAAAGTACGGGCCACGCAGTAATGGCAGTGCAGAGCACAGTAAGGTGGACCTCCTCCCTGAAGGACAATTGAGCATCAAGGACAAGAACCATTTCCCCACACTTACCAGCACAGGTTTGACCACACCAAAAGTGTGGTTCCCAGTGAGATCTGCATTTCAAGAGGCTGCACAAAGTGGCACATGCACAATGCACCCTGGGTCTCAGCTGCATGGACCAGAGTGCAGGCCCCTTTAAGGAAGACCTAATGCACCTGAGCCAGAGGAAGATCTCTGTTAGGGAATAGTAGAAGTTGCTGGGCTTTTCACCTCTCTGTAGGCTAGAGGAGACAGGAGAATGCACATTCAGTCAGGGTATTACAATGTGTTTCTCTTCCTTTTAATTTCCATTTCCTTTTCCTATCACTCACCTCCTCTCTGCCTCCTGTTCCACAGCAGTGTCATGCTGTTTCTATAAATGTATTCTCTTTGTCAAGAAAATCTCACACTCTCTGTCCGTGCATGTCTCTGTGCCTTTGATTTCCAGAGAAACACTGGGCTGGTAGCAACTTCAGTGACTTTGCTGGGCATTATTCCATTAGAGGGAATGATGGGATTGACTTATTTCAGGCCCACAGACAGAAGAGACCATACTTTAACGTGCCTGCCCCTTTTAGGAATTGGCCAAGTCCCAACAAAATTCATGTCAGTATGGACAACATTTCCAAACCCAGTTGATCCCACTCCAGCACAGAAGCAGTCTGCCGATACAAGGGCAAAGTCTGTTGTTTCTCACAAACGTTGGATGTTGTTGATGACCTGTGTGGCTGTTGCCTCTATAATGTCATTCTCTTCCTTCTCTGTGCTCTTGTTGTCTTCCTCTGTGTTGTTCTGTCTCCGTGTTTTCTGACTAACCTGGATGGCAACTCACGGTAGGTGCCAAGCTGAATGACGCTTCTCTACTGGCCAAACAGAGGGAGGGTCTGGGATCTGTGCAATGCACTAGGGTACCCGCTGGCTCCAAAGCTTATGCACGGCAGGCTGAAAGCATGTTAAAGACCTATGAGGGGGACCAGGTAGTTGGGGCTCTGATACATCCACCAGGAAACCATGCCAGACCCATTTTGCGGCACAGATCCCTCAAATCGGGTCCAGGTTGCAGATCAGTGTAACAGGTAGCACTAATGTTTGTTCCTGTGGACGGGGGATAGTCTAAGCAGTGCAAATGAGAAACCCCCTGACTTAGCTGCAAGTTTGCTTCCTGTCTTTGTTGGTGTCTCACAGAGCAGCACCCTGTTCCTGGTAGATACCTCCTTCCTCCACATAGACATACTTAGTGCAAGCACGGAGAATGACTCTGTGGCCAGCACACCAGCCTTGGCGTAGGAGAGACCGAGGTTGTACTTCTGGCTCTGTCCTGGGACAAGTCACTCTATCTCCCAAAGACAGAGCTGGACCCACCTTCCCCTGCCGTTATACATGTGTCCATAGTTTACTGTTCTGGAAAGCCTTGGGGTTCATCTTGAGTTTAACATGCCCCTGTCTTCCATTCCCTCCCTGGCCAAACTACCCAGAATCTGGCCCCCATTCCTAACCTTCCTCCCAGGGTCAGCACTCAGCCCTCATCCCATGTGCATACATGGCCAGTGCTGAGCACCCTGCAATCTGCCCCATAGCAGCCTCACCCTTCCTCCTTCTTGCCAAATAGTGCTGTTTGCTGCAACAGATCTGTCAGCACCCATCGTGTCAACTTCATCACTGCTGCACACGGGGGCTGCCCAGGGTTGCATGGGCCTCGGTTAGAACTGGAGTGCTTCTGCTGCAGAAGCTCTGGTACTCACCACTTTTGCTAAAAGAGGCTCCCCATTAGCTAAAGCAGTGTTAAGACTCAGCATGCACATTGCAGCAGGTCTGAGTCTCCACTGAGTAGAGGGCAGCAGTGTCTATCTGTGTTGTAGCCACAGAGATGTGGCAGCAAACTCCTGTGGAGCAATAGGATTCAATTCCTCAGTGCTAAAGAGCTTGGATTTTACCAAACTGAATCCCCATGCAGCCCATACCTCCCTCTCAGCCAGTGCTGAGGGATGTGAATGCTGGAGCTGCTGATCCCTGCGCTACCAAAAGCCTCTGGGCTGAGCTTTGTAGGAGTGTGTGTGTGCATGAGTTGACAGCAGTCTCTACAACCTCAGTCCTAAACTGGGCACCTCTGTTTCCTCTGCAGAACAAACAGGACGATGAAGAAGAGACAGGCCTAACAGAAGGAGAAGGCGAGGAGGAGGAAAAAGAGCCAGAGAACCTGGGCAAGCTGCAGTTCTCACTGGATTATGATTTCCAGGCTAACCAGGTGCCACAGCTGGGGCTGGGAGCCTGGGCTAAGGAACTCGTGGTGCAAAAGTGGGTTTAGATGAGGCATTCACATGGGAGAGATAGCTGAGGAGTGTGGAGCAAATGCCAAGCTCTGAGCAGCACAGGTGCCTGCAGAGGGCTGTGATGTCTATGGGTTCAAGCACTTGTGTCCCCACCATTGTCCCTCTGGGCCTTTGAAAGGGTCCTTCTGGCAGTCCCCCTGCTCTCCAGGGTGTGGGCAAGAGAGGATGTCAGGGATCTTGCCACCAAGTCCTTGTCCAGAGCCCCACCCTTTGCTACCTGGGCCCTTTGCCCTTCCCAAGGGAAACTCCCAGATTCATCTTCCTAGTAGGGAGATCAGTGCTTTGGAGAAAGTGACCCCCTACTCCCCTGGCAGAACTGAGTGCCATCCCACTCTGGCTGCAGAGAGAGTGGAACAGGAAGGGCCTTCAGCTTTTTTCTATATAACGCCCAAATAAGCTGTCTTGCTGTCTTCCCAGCTGACAGTGGGGATCCTCCAAGCAGCTGAGCTTCCAGCATTGGACATGGGTGGCACCTCGGATCCATATGTAAAAGTCTTCCTGCTCCCTGACAAGAAGAAGAAGTATGAGACCAAAGTGCAGAAGAAGACTCTCAACCCTGCCTTCAATGAAACGTTTACCTTCAAGGTGAGCCTCTCCCCAGGCCCCTTGCTTCCCGAGAGTTGGGAGCCTAGGCTGGAGCTACCCATTCAGGCAGTAACTATACTAGGGATGGATCCCAGCCCAGAACTCCTTTATCCCTATTCCCCGGGGCTTGGTGCCTAAGCTGGGAATTTCAGGGATAAAGAAGCTGGCCTCAAGAAAGGCTTAACCTGAGTATCTACCAGGGCCCTTTCCTGCTGCTGGTGTGCATCTACTTCCATGCTGCAATTCCTGCAGCTCATTGCATGAACGGGTAATGGACCCAGGCTCGTGAAGTTGTATGTAGCAGATTCAGATCCATTTGAAGCATTCTCACCAAATCAGATCCTTTCTTCTATTGCATCCCTACTACCATCGTGCTTTGAAAGTACTCTTCTCCGTAACAGGTTCCCTACCAGGAGCTGGGCGGGAAAACTCTGGTGATGTCTATCTACGACTTTGACCGCTTCTCCAAGCATGATATCATTGGGGAGGTCAAGGTGCCCATGAACACGGTGGACCTGGGCCAGCCCATCGAGGAGTGGAGAGACTTGCAGAGCGGCGAGAAGGAGGAGGTGAGGCAGGTGTCTAGTAGCACAAGGCAGGGGCAAAAATCATGGTCATGGGTCAGGAGCTGGACTTCCTGGGCAGCTCCATGGCCTTGGGGCTGAGGCTGCTTTCATGGTTGCCCCACGAATGGGCTCCTGACTCTGCTGTGCACCACAGGGTGTAGGCTGCAGCAGGTGGATCCACCCTTCAAGGAGACAGCAGTAATGCTGGACAGGTGTCCCTTGTGGGAGAGAGTGCACCGTCCAGCAGTTAGAAAAAGGGCTGTTCATCAAGCCTCATGGGCTGTGTTCCCAGTTCTGGCTGGGGAGTGGAGTCTAGCGGGTTGAGAAAAGTACTAAAGTCCAGGGCCTGTTCCCAGTTCTGCCATTGCCATGATGTGTGGCCTTGAGATGTTACCAAGTTTAGCAGTTGAATCAAATCGCTAAAGCAGTAGAGAGAAATCCCCACTTAACACCAGACCTGGCTCTGTTACAAGACATGCAGGGGGTCTGTGTCCTGCTTATCCCACCTCGAGCTGCAGTTGGGGCCATAACAAGCGACACGAGAAAGACTCATGGAAAGAGTTGGTGGGAGAGTCAGGGACTGAACCCTGATCAGAGTCTCAGCTCGAGCCTTGGCCATGAGGCCAGTATTTGCAAAGTGTCTTCCTTGTGCAAATGCTGCATGTGAATACGAAGCAATAGTAAAAACACAGGGATCATTGAATCAACCCAATCAGGGAATGTCCTGTTGGAAAGGCAGTGATACAGAAGGTGTCCAATCAAGAGAGTGGCTCACACTGGCTCGTGGGTGATGAGGTTCCTGGCTGTGCATCTCCTCCCATAGTTTCCTAGGGTATTAGCTCTCAGAGCTGCAGGCAGGTGCTCTGAGGGACAGCAATGGCTGTCTGAGCAATGGGACAGTATTGACCTCTGCTTTCCCCTTGGGCCAACAGCCAGAGAAGCTGGGAGATATCTGCATCTCGCTGCGGTATGTACCCACTGCGGGGAAGCTCACCGTTTGCATCCTGGAAGCAAAGAACCTGAAAAAGATGGACGTCGGGGGTCTGTCTGGTAAGCACAGAGCCACCTTCTAGCACTGGGTGACACTCCTAAGCCAGCAGCTCAACGCGGTCCCTCTGCTAGGGGACATCCTGGAGGGAAGTCCTTACCACGGTGCTTAGCACTCACAGCATCTTTACAGCAAGAACCATGCACCTGATGGGGACACCTGCATGGTGCAGTCACACCTCCATGGCTCTGTCTTGAAGCCACATGGAGTTGTGCCCCCTGCAAGCCAAAGAGAGGAGCAAGCCATAGATACTGCATGTCCTATGGCTTTCTGTTGGGTCTGCCAATTTAAACACCAGATCCCTGGTGTGCAACTCCAACGGGGGCAAACACGATGGCTCATGCCCAACTTGCACTGATGTCAGTGAGTGCCCAGGGGGGAAGCAAGCCTGGGGTGTCTGGAGAAAGCAGCAGCTTGTGCAACTCCCTTCATAGCCACCCACATTTCCAGCTTGGCTGGAGCCGTCTGTGGCAGACACCAAGGAGACAAGGGAATAGGTGCCCTGACTTAGTCAGATGCAGGGAGCCTCCACTGAGCTGTCAGGGCCCAGAGTATGTAGATGGTCATGTGCTAAGCAGACACCAGCACCAAGTGGGGCAAGTACCCTCTACTTCTGTTTCCTGCAGTGGGAGGAGAGGGGTCCAGGGCCCCTAAGGGTTGGCTTATTGTTCAGATGCATTGGCCTGCTCTCTCTTTTATGCTTACAAACAGCATCTCAGTCTTGCTTCCCTGGTCCCCTCACCCCATGGGCAGAATGTGTCCCATGGGGAGCCCTCATTAGGCAGTGACCAAAACTGCCTTTATAAATTCATGACAAAGATAAAGGATCATGACAAGCAGAGCCTGTGCTTCTACCCAGATATGAGGTTAGCCCTGATAATCTACGGCATCAGTAATGCCAGAGTCAAAGGGAAGGCTCCGGTTTATTATTAGGAACAAGAATCTTACAGGTCTGTGAGCTCACCAGAGACATGTTTTATCTAAGCAGGAAGAGTATAAGTTTTGCTCATGCAGCTCCCCTTGTGCCCCTCAATCCCAGTGCAGGGGCTGCTCTTCGAGCCTTCAGCTCTTTCTACAAGAGCTTTGCCAAGGTAGCTCAGCCGTGACCTTCAGGCCCCTGCTATTCCAGCCCTGTGCCCCATGCTTACACATCAGCCCGGCAGTGAAATTTTTCTGAGTGCAAGCTTCCCAGTGCCCCGTTTTGGGCTGTGGGATAAATAAGCTTTTCTAACAGCACATGCAGGCTGCAATCACACCAGCAATGTCTGGAGTCATAACTTGCAAGCAGTACAGTTTAGCGAGCCAATGTGTCTGGGAAGGGGACTCTGGTGCTTTTACCAGCATGTCTCACTGTGCCCTGAGGACAGCTGATGTGCCACGTCACAGAAAATATCTTCTTTTACTTACTACACCAGGCTGGTGCCAAGACAGATTTGCAGAGGAGATTCTGAGCTGAGAAGTCAGCTGGTGTAGACATGGTCAGGCTGGTTTCCTGGTAGGAAACAGCTTCGCTTCTGTCTCTGGAGCAGTGGTCCCTGACTTTGGCTTGCTAGTGAGCAACAATACTGAGCAAGAGGTGTGCTGCAGGCAAGGCCAGGTTGTTTCCTAACAATCTGCTTTATCATGAGCAATGCCAGAGGGCCTCTGCCCACAAATCCTGAGTTAGGGAGCACAGCTCAAAAGCAATGAGACATGCCACTCACTGGGCCCCTTGGTGATATTGCAGGATGTATTGTCCTTTGGGCCAAGGAACCAAACTCCAGAAGCCTGTTTTTTAATGAAAACAGCAATAGCTTTCCAGGCCCAGCTCTCCACTGCCCAAATTCCAGCAGCATAAACAAAGCAGGCATGGGGGCTGAGTGATTTTGGTGCCCGCTTTCACACATCCCTGCTCTTCAGCCCTTTAGCATGACTCAAGTTGGACCTCCAGCAGCAAAGGCAAAGGAGTCGCTGTCATTCATGCTCTGCCAACATCTTGGTGACTGATTGGACTAATGCAGGCCTGTGGATCTGCTGTGTTAGATACCCCATGGGCAAAGGGCGATTAACAATCATGGTGCAAGATGACATGCTCATAGATTGTCTGAGGCTAGACAAGGCTGTGAGAGCTACCCTGTCTCACCACGGCCTAGTGCAGGCCAGAGCATCCCAGCTTGTGGTTCCTGCCTGGAGCCCAAACCATCCAGTTGAGCCAGCTTGTGTCATTCAGGAAGATGCCCAGTCATGGGGTGACAGCAGCCCTGCCCTGTCCCCAGGACAGTGGTTCCCATAGGTAATTCCCCTCCCTGCTGAAAATGCACTGCATTTCCAATCTGAATGTTTCCCGATCCAGCCTCCAAGCCTTCATCTGTTTTCAGACACCTGCCCCATGTACATACATAATCCCATACAAGTAAATATGTGGGGGCTGCTTATTATTCTTTCATATTAGGGATTTGATAGCAGGCTGCCGTATGTCATGATGGTGTCACTGCCAGCCCTTCTGCGTGGACCCAGAGAGCCTCCTACCTGGGTCTCTGCCCTCTCCCATCCTCTATGAGGTGCTCTATCAGTGCTCCATCAGGCACCAGCTCTGGCTACCTCTGATCTCTGCTCTTCCCGGCTTTCTCTTCAGATCCATATGTGAAGATCCACCTGCTGCAGAATGGCAAGAGGCTGAAGAAGAAGAAGACCACTGTCAAGAAGAAGACGCTAAACCCATACTTCAATGAATCCTTCAGCTTCGAGATCCCCTTCGAACAGATACAGGTTCACTTATTACGATTCTTGCCTCGGGTGCTGTGGGGTGGAGCATGGGGACAGGAGTGGTGGGTGGCAGGCGCTTGAGATTCTCTGAGTGGAGGGACTGGCTCCTTCCCCCTCCTTGTTGCCTCATTCTCAGGCTAAAATAAGTGTGGCCCAACCCATTTAATGCCACTTACCTCTATCACGGTCCACCTGTGGGTGCTGGAGGTACTGCTGCATCAGGTCCAAGAAGTACCCACAGCCTGGGGTGGGCAGGCTGAAGCCAGCACAAAGAGCTTCAGGCTGGGTTTTGGCAGTGACTGCGAGGATTAGCCAGGAGCCCAGGTTGTGTGGTTTGGAGCATCCATGGGATGTCACTGAGGATGCTGTCAAAGCAAGGAGTGCTAGAGAAAGCCAGTGCCTGTTGTCAGAGGTACCATCAGCATCAAGAGTTTTTAGACGACTGGGGGCTCAAACGTCACTGACAACCTCTGCCTTCCCATGGAGCTGCAGAGCTTGAGCAGCTCTGCAGAAACACCCCCCACTCCTTGAAGAGCTAGCAGATGACACCTGTCACTCTTGCCAAGAGCCTTCCCCTCACTGGCAGTACGAGCCACTGCCTTATTATGTAAGGCCCAGCCCTGCCCTCAGTATGTGCTAATAGGAGACAGAAAGGCTGTGCGCAGCAATGGGGAAAAGAGCCCCAAAGCCATCAGCAGAGCTACTAGAGGAATCATGAGGCCCTGGGTCACTGTCTCAGCTGCTCCCCACACAGTGTGCATGGGCCACAGGCTGACAGGTGCCTTCTCCCCTAGCTGCCATCCCTGCACACTTAGCCTGGCAGTAAGCAAGGGACCAGAGCTCACTCGAGAATTGTATTCAGGATCCTAAATGAGAGGGGAACGGGGGTTTTCCTTCCTTTCATTTCGTCACCTGTAATAGATGGTTATAGGCAAATTAGGCTGCTGCTGACCCCTAAACAGTCCTCTGTCTCTTCATACCCAGTACAGCCACTTGGATTTGCCCTCTGGGATCCCTGTGTGGGCAAATTTTATGCCCTCTCTTCTGTGCCCTGCTCTTGGTGACCCTCATGCAGTCACAGACCCTTTGCATCTAGCCCTTGGTGACCCCTGCAAAACCCCATCACCTTTCATGACTCCACAAGGGCACCACTAATTGAAAAGGGGGCCTGGTCTCCACTCAGCTTCTTCCCATAAACTCAGGCAGTCTGAATACATTTGTCCTGGTGAAGCCCTAGTGTGGAGGCTGTTAGCACTGGGTTTTCCCTAGTGTCCGTCCCTCCCTGGAGACACAGCTGTTCTTCTAGCAGCCCCTTTTGTACTATATGAACTCAGTTCCCACAAGGGTTTGTACTTCCTTAAGTGTACAGAATACAGATTTAAAATGATACAAGTTTCGGGTGGTACCAGGGTTGTAGCCAAGTTAGTTCAGCCCAGACTAAGGGGAGAAAAGGTCAGAGCTCGCTTCTGCATCTGCCTGGGGCCGCTCTGATGCAGGGGGTTGGTGTGTCAAAGGGGCCACGTTCCGCATGCCCTTTCAGGGGGATCTGTTACATCTATGCTGAGAAGTCAGAGCCATCTGAAAATACGGGGTGAGCTTTCCAGAGCTTTCAGGGTGTTTGGCAGCATAACATTGCAGGGGCTAGTGCCCAGAGTCTCCATTAATGGCAACTGGTGCCCGGAGTTGTTAGGCAGTGTTGACCATGCCAGCACCTGCCCCTTGGAATCACAACAAACACCAGGTCCCCAGTGGGTTTCCCTGGCACCGAGGCTGTTTCACAAGCATTGCACCTGCAGTACCGCAGTGTTTCTGTGTACCTAAAGAACCCTGTTCCTCCCCCTGCTTCCTTCCTCAGAAAGTGACAGTGGTGATCACCGTCCTGGATTATGACAAGCTGGGGAAGAATGAAGCTATTGGCAAGATATTTGTTGGCAACAACTCCACCGGCACAGAGCTGCGGCACTGGTCTGACATGCTGGCTAACCCCAGGCGGCCCATTGCCCAGTGGCACTCCCTGAAGCCTGAAGAGGAGGTGGATGCAGCTCTTGGGAAAAACAAATAGGAATCCCCATAGCCCAGCCTGCGAACGTTCTCAGCAACCCAGAGCTATTGATACCTCAGTTATGCAACCTTAGGTTTTGGTTTTCTTTTGGTTTTAAGCTGAAATACCCTTTGATGGCTGTGGAAGGGTTCCCAGACAGTCCCAAGAGCTTTCAGAGGAAGACGTTAAAGACACAGATGGTTTTTTCCATTCTTTAAAGAAGCTTAACTGTGCTGCATGTCCACCATTTCTCCATGCTATTCCTTTAGGGTGTGAAGTAAGTTTCTGTCCTGGGGTCTCCCTAGGCTGTGGCATCACCAGTCCACAGCAACACTTCTTCCTTTCTTTTTGGTTACACACTTGGACCTTTGAACTTTGTGCTAAGATGATACTAGAGCTTGACAAGGTGAGATGACCAGATACACTGTGCTTGCTTTGGGCATGAACACAAGCGGACTATGAGAGTCCATGGAGAAGACCTCTAATGAACATCTGGACACCTTTCTGCTTCGCCTCTTGATTCCCTTCATCCCTGTTAGCCGTCCAGCAAAGAGCGAGAAGCAGCGTGGAGATGGGAGCGCCTGGAATCTGTCGAACATCAGCAGGTTTAGCTCCTTCTGGTGAGAGAGCTGCATTGCTTGGCATTCACCTGTGGGACATCACTGCCCAGTGGTACCTAGGCTGGGTATTGAGCCTTCCAGCCCCAGCAACTGGAGGCATATGGGAGGAGCCACAGGAGACTGCATGCTTTGGTAACAAGACACGTACGATTCCAGTTTCAGTGTAGGAAGGGGAAAGGAATTGTAGTTTCTGAAGAACAGTGGCTGCGTCTACACAAGATGCTACTGTGCGGTGGTTACTGTATAAACAAGTACTAAATAAATGTGCAGCAACCGAAGTTACTGTGCAGTAGTGCCGGCAAATGCCTTTTTTTTATGCCTACTGCGCGGTAGCCTAATACTACCGTGCAAGAGCATCTGGGCACGGTTTTTGCCATGTGATGCTACTGCGCGGTCAGCGTCTCGTGTAGACGTGCCCAGTGTTATTGAAATGACCAGGCATGGCAGACATACAGTTTTAGCCAGATCTGAGAACCCCTTTGCTGCTCAGAAAAGCCCTATGCTGAACTGCCCAAATGGCTGTTTGAGCTTCTGTAATCTCCATATGGGCTAAATGCCATCCTAAAGATGACAGCTGTGGGTTGCTCTGCACACATTTCCCATCATGCTTTGCACTGCCATACTTCTAAGGATATTTGACTTAAACTTGTGCAGAACCACCAGGAAGGTTTCAAGTGTAAGGTATTCAGAATGCCGGAGGTGACCACATGGAGATAATAGTTGTCAGAGGCATATGAGTTGCTATAACTGCTCCAGCATCTGGCGTTTGAGGGTTGCAGGAAGCCTGGTGAGTGGTATCTGGGAGAAAGTCACCTGCAGTGAGATCTAGGGTAAACTCTTTGTGTGTTTGGCTTTGCTCTCCGCACCCATGGCATAATCTACTTTAAGGCTGCCGCTCCAGGCTCTGGCACTCCATTCAGAGCATGAGGGAAGTAGCCAGCTGGAGGGGGCTCCCTCCCCATACCAGTGTCACACAGATCTGAAAGGGGTGCTCCCATGTGATGAGGGAGAATGAATGCATACCAAACCAGGGACCAAAGACACCCCAATGGCCAAGGTATCTGCTGCTCACTACGAGGCTGGTTGGATGGTAAGCACATTCTAGTTCCTTTGTCTCCCTACAGATATAAGCCATAACCATGTTGCTGACCAGTATTTGCACTGATTATTAAAGAGCTTCTCTGCTTTACCATTCCCCTGGGGACAAAGACTGGTGAATGTCCTAAACCTCTGGCTCTCTTCCTTGATGGCCATGGGGGCTGGGACACAGCTTGATAAGGAAAAGCGCTTGTATCATTCCCGTGCCACAACTTTTGCCAACAGAACAATAGGTTCCTGGTTCAGCCCACTCTGTGCTGGAGTGTATGAGCAAGCAAGCCAATTTCCATTTTCCTGCCTGTAATTCCCAAGAGGCTTTGAATTTTGTTTGCTGTGTCTCAGTTCAACCAATCCACGGGTTGGAAGTATCTGATGAACAGCCTTGCTTGGGCTTCCTCCTGTCTATCTTTCAGTCTAATGCTGATGCAGTCTGGCCATTTCAGACAACGGACCCCCTCTGAAGCAGAGTGGTCATCTGGTACAGAGTATTCCTGCAAAGATTGGCCAGCAGGCTGTACCATCCCTGAGTATCAACTATATTTTCCTGCCAGTGAGATGGTTTGCACTGAGGACAAGTCTCCCAAGGAAAGTGCCAGGTGTCTCATAGTTTGGGACTGGCCCCCATCAGTAGCAAATGCCCTTTAAGGAACAGTCTCAGCTTGGCAAAGCAGGTGGGCTTAGTGGAAGCTGACACATCTGACCAGCCCCATGCCCTGGCAGTTTATAAGTAAGCTGCAGAACTGAGCAGGCGCTGACATTATGGTTTTTAGTGACCAGGAGTAGTCGTAGGCGACACATAAACTGCGAGGGCAGTGATCTTGGAGTCGATGGGGGCTGGGCCCCTGTGTTTGGGACACCTCCCTGAGGGTGAATTTCACGCTGCATGAAGGACCTCTGCCCCTGCAGTGCTGGGGCTTCTCTGATGCTGAGGCTTGTCTGCCCTGGGGGCAGTGCTACCAGGTAGGAACAGCCCAGCTCACTTGGAGTCTGGGGAAGGGGCAAGGTATTTTACCTTGCCTTCCCCTAGGGTCCAGGGGAAGCAGGAGGCTAGGCACAGGGTCAGCTGGACTTAAGCTCAAAGGAAGCAGTGCTGGCATCTAGATTCACCCTGAATCTCTCCTGCCTCTCCTCTCCTCTCCCCCCGCCCCCCCCCTCCCAGGTTCTCTTTGGTCCCCTCATTTCAGTTACCCACCGAGCCTCCTTAAGTAGGTGCGCTGCATTGCCAGGTCCCAGCCCAGGTCATTCCATTCATAAGGCAAGGAAGAAGAGAAGTTAGGCTCAAGCCCCTGTCAGGAGCAGCCTAAATCAGTGTTTGAAGGGCAGGCCTAGACTAACCCATTACCCCTGGAGCAGCAGCACCAACCAGGGCATAGCCCAGGTATTCAGACCCCCACTGAACATTTTGCACAGCTCAGAACATGCCCTAGCACGTTGCTGCTATGTGCATGTAGGAACTGCCCACAGGCGCACAGTTAAATCCCATCCCTCTGCCATATCACTGATTGGCTTGTAAGCTCTTGTTTTAAAAAAAAAAAATGCCCCGTATTTCCAGTGCAGACAGAGCTGACAGTGCCTGTGGGACGCTCTGGATCTGTACATGAGACCTAAGAAGCATTACCTTCATGCCTGATTCCATTTCATTGCTGCATGATGACAAAAGTCAAGTTGCTCAAAGGCCTGGGAGGCAACTGCAAGGGTTGCACTCTGCCGAACTTGCAGGCACCCTGCTCAGCTGTGTCCAAACTCCTGGTGCTTTTGTTGCTTTAAAGGGTGACAGGAAAGGAAGCAAATCAGCCTTCAGAGGGTTAAAATATAGTTCTGTTTAAAGCCACGGTGTTCCCGGCTTTGCTTAAATACTGGTACAACTCTCGGGGGGGTGCGTGCACACATGCGCATGCATGCACACACACTTACATGTACACATAACATGGCTGCGTGGGCTTTCATAATTAGGGGCCAGCCAAAAATAGAAATTGTTAATGGGATTTTTATTGAACCAAGAGGTGCAATGAATGCCCACGGCTTATGCTGTCAAAGATGCCACCAATAAGTGAATTGTCTTGTCAGCATCTGCCCCCATTGGCGAGGGGGGGTCTTCCATTCCCATGGTGCCCAGTAACACTGACCTCACACCAGTTACATTAAATCAGGATGTAACTCTGGAGTCCCCTACAGTGGAACATGCTTTTTTTTGGTTCAGTTTCTATTAATAGAGAACATTAAGCATGTAAAAACATTGGTTTGTGGGAGCTGGTGAGATCAATAGGAAATCAGCCCAGTTCAGCTGGCACATGCACACGCACATGGACACACATGCACACACCCACCCAGCTGTACAGTCAGCAGTATTCCCAGTGCTACTGTCTCCAGTCAGGAGGCAGCCTGTTGCCACTGGTGCCATGGCAGTGAGACTGGGAGTGAGTCTTGCTGTTTGATGGGGGCGCGTAGGTTCCTCGGGACCTATTTAGAAGTGGGGGAGCCTGTGACTTTAAGACACAGCAACTCTTTTTTGTTTTTTTGTTTTTCAATAAAAAGTGGGGGGGGACAAACCTACTCAAGCCATCTGAGCCTCATCCGAACCCTTCATTTGTGTGTGATTATATATAAAATGCTAGTGCTGTATATCAAAACCAGAAAATCACCAACCTTGTGAACAATGCATGAGAAACAATCACAGTGTAAATAGCAGCATGGTTAAAGCTGACGCCACGCCCCTCGCACACCCGTGGGTCATTGTCCCTCTTGCAGAACACACCTGGGCTATGGTGTCATTTTTTTTTACATATGGCGTGAATGACTATTTTACCTGATGAGATAAGAGTGAGACCGATACGAAGGCAGGCAGCCAGCCAGCCAGAAATCTTTATTACCCAAGCGAGTGGTCTCAACAATGTAAGTTTATTTTCAATAAAAAATAATAATAATTTAAAAAAAAAGGGAAGGAACAAAGCATGCCTGATCCATTCAAAATGTCTGGGGGGGTGAACTACAGCCCAGTCTGGCGGTTAATTACATGTGTCTTGTAACCTATACTTGCAAAACTGTAGCTTGTTGCATTTATGCCATGTCCAGGTAGCAGCAGCATTGTGGCTTCGGCGTCCTGTGTCGTGTTGATGCATTTCCACCGTAAAAGCAAACTTTAGAAGCCATATTAGATCCCGGCCTGCCAGGATCCTTGAGTGGGGTTGGCCAGCAGGTGATCCTTGACTCCCCCGCCCCCTCTTGTGGTGTCTGTTCAGGAACTCCTGGTCCTCGTTTCCCTATGGGCAGAGAGAGGGTTCTGGCTCAAGGTGCTGGCCTACCCCTTGAGTTCATTTTTTGAGCCATGAATGTCATCTCCAAGTCTTGACTGAGGCCAAGGTCCAAGCCAGAGCCTGGCCATGCGGGGCTTGAACTGTTGTGGTTCTGCGGTGCTGGGATCCCGGTGGCCTGTGACAGGGGTAAATGCCCAGGTCCTTCCTTGAGCAAACTCCCACTGCCCAGCTAAGGCCTGAGTCAGTCAAAAGGGAACAACATCATTACCCTAACTGTGGCATTGTATGTCCTATCCTGAGTTGCTCCAGGGAATTAAAAGCAAAGCAGATCTGATAGCTGCACCGTCAGATGCAAGTGTTGTCTAATCACTGGCACTATCCTTTCCCAGCCAACAGCATCCCTGTGCTCAGCATAGAGGGGCGAGATGGTGTCAGGACCAGCCTGGGACTGGTACTCTCCCAGGTAGGCCAGGCTGTGCTCCCTAACTCTGCCACTGACTCTTTGTGCGGTCTTGGGCAAGGCTGATGCAATACATTCAAAGCTTTGGGTCTAGGGTCTGGAGCCAGAGCAGCAGAGAGGTGGCCACATGTTCAGGTGCTGTTTCATTTGGGGGCTTCCCCCTTCTCATGCCCCCTCCAGTGAACACCTGTTTCACCTGGAATTAAAGCCATTCCCTTTCCATGCAAATTTGGATGGTCCTGCTGAGGGGCTGGGACCAAACTTTGCGCTGCCTTTGAAATCTGGTTTGGAGCTGGTGCAGGCCAGGCGCCACCACTGTGGGCCCTGCCAGGGAGGGGGAGGCAGGCATGCGCCACTTGGTTGAGGGGCACTAGGACCACTACTAAAACTCCTACCTGCTGCTGCACTTTGTCCACTGGCATCTCCTAGTGCACCCAGTGGCACATGCCTGCCTAGTCACGCTGATCACCACAGATGGGCCTGCAGATTGCAGGGATTTGGACTCAGATCCCGGAGGCTGAGGCTCCTTCCTCTCACTGAACTCCAGCTGCCCTCATGGGATAGGCTGCAGACTCACTTCTGCACCTGATGCTCTTTTTCTGAAGGGTTGATTCTTGAAATGACTTGTTCCAGGAGTTGATCCTCCCTCCGCTGCAGCCTAAGTGCCAGGAGTGCCTGGTGAGTCGAGCCTCCGCAGTCTGAGCCTGAGCTGTACTGATAGACGGTGATTAGACACATGGCTTTAGCCTCCCCCCCCCCCGCATCAGTTTAATCCCTTCTCTGAGCAGGAGTAAAGATTGGCTACAAGTCACAGATGCCCCTTAAGGAGAAGAGGTAGATGACCATCATTAGGACACTTCAGCTGGTAACCTGTTTCCTGAGTCCCCCTGTTTGGGGCATCCACCTTAGAGCATCTGGGCTACTGCTGAGGTGCGTGGCAGGGAGCAACGTTCTCCCAATGCGTTAACAGGATAACCTCCATCAGCACGTGGGCCTGGTTGTAGTGAGCTTGGGCAAATTTGTACCTAATTGCCATTGTTCTGGGGTCCTAGCCAGAGGCTCTGAATGACCGTCTTCCTGCTGTGGCAGCACTATCGTGCCCACTCTAACCTGGATTGTCTGGTCAGGCATCCAAGCCTTCATGCTGCCCCATTTTCTCCTTGGGTTGGCCCAGGAGCAAAATTCAGTCTTCCACAAAGCAGCTGGGAACGGCAGATGCAAGGGCACCCCAGTGCAGGCCTCAGGAACAAGATGCATGAAGGGCAGGGCTCTGGCATGTGGGGAGGGGGCTAGGATGCTGCTGGCTAGAAGCTCAGCTGCAGCCAAGACTGGGGATGTTGACTAGACTGTGCCAATTCTCCTGCTGGGACTAAAGCCCAGAGGTTCCTGGCTAGAGAGTCTTGCCCCTCCACTCCAGGTCAGACCAATCGCCACATTTGGGGCCGGGAAGGAGTTTGACCCCCTGGTCAGAGTGGCACGGGGCACGGGGGTTTTGCCTTCCTCTATAGCAGGGGGCACAGCCCTCTTTGGAGATCTCTTGCACATATTCTACCAATCCTCACAACAGCAGGACACGGATCACCACTGTTACCTGGGGCCAGCGAGGGCGCTGTGCCTTGGGGCTGTGCAACAGGGTTGACTCTGTAGCTTGAGTGATCCGTTAGACAAGGCTTTGTATGGGATAGCTTGGATAGGGATGAGCCTGCCCCGGGCAGGGGCTGGGCTAGCTGGCCTTCCAGCCCTGCTTCTCCGATTGAGCTGCACGGGGAGGAGGTGGTGATGTTTATAAAGGACACTGCAATGCAGGGAGGGACAAAGAAGCCCTTGAGTGAATTTGGAGCTGCCAGGTTTCGGCGCAGAGCCTAGGGCGTGTGTG